CTTGAAAGCTCGCGAGATCAGGATGGTCTCACGAGGCTATTTCTAGGCAGGCTAATGACTCAAAGGAGTTTTACTTTAAGGGTCTTATTCGTCCAATCATACATTTCTTAAACCTATATCCATTAAATAGATGACTACTCTTTCCTCTGAGCTACAGCCACTTTAATCACTGATTTAACAGCTATCCTTTAGTCAGAACTCCACTTTAATGTTTTTAAGTAAAGGTGGAAAAAGTATCGTTGTGGCCTTATGTCCCAAAAATGCCAAACTTTCCAACAAAAGCTGTGGGCGGTAACACGCGGTTTTTGGCTTTGTACGCACTTCTGACTTAACTTATTTATTGTAAAAGCAAAGACAAAATAATAACCTAAAACTGTGTTGAAACTTAGTGAAAATGAAAAATAATGTTAATTTAATGTTTAAAGCTCTAATAAAGTGGTCAAAAAATTATTTTACAAAACAATCCACATTCTGGTGTGTTCTTAGTTACTCAAATTAATGAGATGGTCTAACAATTAACAAAGTAATCTAAACACTGCCAAATATAAAAAATGAATTACAAGTTAAATTGACTTAAATATATTCTAGCTACCAGAAGAAGAAAACTGAATTGGTAGAAGTTACTATTTACACATTTTTTGCATAAATGTACAAGTATTTTGGATAAATAATCCTCTGGGTGTTTCTGTTTTTTATTTTGGATCCAGTTTGCTTCATCCTCATCCCTCAATCCCAAAGCCTTACAGTTTGTGGTCTAACACCAAGCTCTGTTATGCAGCCCGCCTCTCTAATCACTAACCAGTTGACTTTTACTACTTAAACTTAACATCCTGTTTCTCTTCTCCAGAAGACAAAGGAGTCTCGCTGCTGAAGCTAATCGGAGATCCTCCTCCAGACAGTATTCCAGAGGTGGATGGACCGGACAACAGCCCCGCTTACCTCTTCGGTCCAGATTCCACCACGGGTCAACTTGCCCGTGCACACTTCCCCAACCCATTCTACAGAAACTTTGCCCTCATCTTCAGCGTGAAACCAACCTCTGATGATGCCGGCACCATCTTCGCCATCACAGACGCCTCACAGCAGATCATGCATGTGGGGGTCAAACTGTCGAAAGTCCAGGGTGGCGAGCAGAACGTCATTTTTTACTACAGCGAGCCGGGCGCAAAGCAGTCCTACGAAGCGGCCAGTTTCCCGGTGCCCTCCATGAAGGACACCTGGAACCGTTTTGCTATCGCTGTAATGGACAACATAGTGGCCTTCTACCCTAACTGCGATGGAGGGCTTCGGAGCGTAAGATTGGAGAGATCCCCGGATGAGATGAACCTAGGAAGTGGTTCCGGTGTGTTTGTAGGTCAAGCTGGGGGAGAATTTCCCGATAAATTTCAGGTATGTATATCCAGTTATGTTTGAGAAATTGGAGAAAAAAAAACATCTCAGAGTAATCAGTCTTCTTCCGTTGCCTTCAGTCCACAAACATTCAGTGTGATGAGACAGACCTTTGGCCAAGATCCACTCTGTGTTTGGATTTTCTGTTGCCATAATAAAAATATGAATCTGATGATTCTCATGTGATCGAATAGCTTGAAACAGTTTGACACCAAGCATGCAAATGTATCCCATTCCACTATAAGGAACTGGAGGACCTCCCTGATTTAATCTCATTACTATCAGTCAGCTGACTGTTATTCTTAACAATTAACTACAACAGTTGACCTCAGCAGTTTGGGCTGCACTGGGTCAGGGAAATCTGTGACTGTTCAGTAATTAGTATCTCTACATCACTCCTAAAAGAAAAGGTGTT